GTTAGACACGGAATTTGAATAAACATTTCAGTCTAGGATATTACTATTGAGCTACTCTAGATGCGATTGATTTTCTTTGAAATTGATTGATCTTTGAGTAATAACCAAGATCAACAAAACTTGATCAACAATTTAGGATTAAGCGAATGTGACACCATTCACTAATCATTGCACAAGTCTAAATCGTCATTACGGTCAAGTATGGAACAGAAGGTCACTACTAATTACATTTTTCTCCTAAATGAAGAATAGTCCATTGTTAGCGTACTGATTCAATAAAACTCACCTATTGTTTATTTGTCTAAACATTGGTACAAAGGGGTATTGAAGAATATATGAACCGCACCAGTTATCACTAAATTTGAGCCCCTAAATGCCCTGCTACGACCGATAGTCAGGAGAGTCAGATCTTCCTCTCCAAATGCTATCATATGGCCACGTGCATACAACCACTGTCAGGGAAGTCCCAACCACTGCCTTCCTGTGGTGGGGATGTTGTTCACGAAGTTGAGAGGACGAAAAGTAAATATCCGGCAGGTACTTTAACCGAGTTGGTGGACACAAAGGATTCACGTAGGGGAGTTGGGTAATCCTCATTCCAAATCACTGGTGGACATGGCCTACAGGATCATGAAGGAACAATTGGTGTGTGAACCAATTATTGGTCACCGTCTACCATGTGGCTGCATCTACTGACGTTTCTTCACTTCCTTGTGGATAAGTTCTTCAAGTCAAAGGCTCGAATGGTGGCCTCCTAAGGAAACCACCTGTTTCAGTCTGAGCACCCGGGTTGTATCATAGCCCACACATAAATAAAATGTCTTGCGTGACACACATGTATTCGGTGCTCCTTTGTACCAATATTTATGTGTTTAAATAAATAAAATAAAATTTGTGTATGGGCTGAAATATTCCCCGGGTGCCAAAATCGAAGCAGGTAATTCTCTTAGACAATCATTCCCTCCAACCTTTGACTCACAGGTCCTATCCACAAGGCCGTGAAGCGTCGTCAAGTGATGCGTTCCTATGTTAGCTAATGACCCATATTGACTATTGACTGGAATCAGGGTCTCCAGACTTCTCTAATTGAGTCTTCCATGCCCCACAACCCAATTTAAACTCCAACCGGTTATTCTTCTTCAGTCCTTTAAATTTAGTAAACAACACCCTAACTAAGAGGTGAGTATGAATTACAATATATGTGTGACCCCATATGAGAGCATTCGAAGAGGAGGAGGAGGGGGGGAGTAAACTAATTTCACCTTCAACTATACCATGCTATTTGGGGACGATGAAAGAACTAAGAAAGAATACTAGTTAAGTTAAAAATGTATATTGTATATGTATATTTATTTGCATAATTACGTGTAATTGCCATCAAAATTTAAGGTTCTAAACATAAGGAAATCTAGGAGTAGGTTTGATTTATTCAAAGAAAAGAAAATTCATCACATCATAATTAAATGTTACCATCATTTGGATCATTGTGACATAAGTAAAATGAATGAAAAGAATTTGACAAAGTTGATTGATCTCAGTTTTTTGATCCAATAAAACATCCCACATACATATATGGAATAGAATCAATATTTGGAGGGGGGGGGAGAGGAGAAAATGAATTCGAGAAATGATAATCAAAGACTAATTGATCATTGGTTTTTTTGGTTTATGATAAGACATTAATAAGATACAAATTAATTGTATATCATATAAGCAGAATATATTGAATGAATTAAAGTGCCAGTTGGGTAAGGATCGAAAAAATACTTAGTAACAGTTTATAGAATATAAAGAGAAACGAGAGAGCGAGAGGGGGGAGACAGGATAGAAGTCATGTGATAATTAGTTTCCAGTAAGTTCTGCAAAGGTTGAATCCAATTCTTCACTGAGTGCTTTGTATTTCTCTTTCTCAGTGACCAATTCATCTATGAGAGTAAACAAAAAAAATTAGGAATGGAATGTATGTTATGTTATAAACAAAGAGTGACTGTATTCTATGCAGTTGTGATTGATCTCTAATTACTGATCGTGGTTAATGTAAAGTTCTGAACTAGGTAGTATGCACCTAACTACAATCGTCATCCGGATAGTTGGTGACTTATATGAACTGATGTCATGTTTTTTTTGTTTTGTTTTGGTTTAGCTCTATTTCAACCCACTTTTACACCAGTTAACATTGAGCGTCTAAGTAGATGGTGATTGGATATGCACAATGTAAGATTCACATTTTTATCAATCAACATACCATTTTTACCTGATATTTTGAGTCCATTCTCAAAATTACATGACGTACTAGTAATAAACGAATGGCCTCTTAATATCGAACACTGTTTCGTAACCAAAAAGTAAGACTGAGCTTAGTGTTGCACAGTATACTCTGCCCTCTATTGCCAGATGAACATCTCGCCTACACTACAAGTGACATAAAATTTGGCAAGAAACAACTCAAGTCAAAGTTTCATCAAATCACCAACCCACCATGACTGGTGAGACATGCAAGATCAGTCAAGTGGTCAACGCTTTCTCTATCAGTAATTTTCAATTACAATACCCGATAGCAGGAAATCTACCTTAGCTATAGACCTTCTCGTAACGCTTGCAATAATTATTCTAAAAAAATAAGTCGATGCTGGGTTGGTGACTACTCTGTCAGCCTCAGATATCGCTGCATCAACTGCTCGTAATTCGTGTTAATAAAACTGTTTGACTGATAACCGGAGAAGACGACCAGTGTAGCAGCAGTACGTCTCAATATACACAAAGAGAAAATCAAGATTCTCCGATACAACACAGAATGCACCAGTCCAATCACAATTGACGGAGAAGATTTGGAAGATGTAAAAACCTTTACATATTTGGGCAGCATCATGGATGAACACGGTGGATCTGATGCAGATGTGAATGCGCGGATCGGAAAAGCAAGAGCAGCATATTTACAACTGAGGAACATCTGGAACTCAAAGCAACTGTCAACCAACACCAAGGTCAGGATTTTCAATACAAACATCAAGAAAGTTCTAATGTATGGGGCGGAAACTTGGAGAACTACGAAAGCAATCATCCAGAAGACAGAGGTGTTTATTAACAATTGTCTACGCAAAATACTTCGGATACGTTTACCAGACACTATCACCAACAACCTACTGTGGGAGAGAGAACAAACCAGATCCCAATGGAGGAAAAAATCAGGAAGAAGCGCTGGAAGTGGATAGGATACACATTGAGGAAAGCACCCAACTGAATCACAAGACGAACCCTCACATGGAATCCTCAAGGTCAAAGGAGAAGAGGAAGACCAAAGAACACATTACGCCGGGAAATGGAAATAGACATGAGAAAAATGAACAAGAATTGGATGGAACTAGAAAAGAAGGCCCAGGACAGAGTGGGTTGGAGAATGCTGGTCGGGTGGCCTATTCTCCATTGGGAGTAACAGGCGTAAGTAAGTACTTTAACCGGGTTGGTAGACACGGAGAGTCCACCTAGAGAAGTTGCAAAACCCTCGCTCCAAATCAATCATGTACATGGGATCCAGAAGGAACAAATGATGTATGAACCAATTATTGGTCACCCGCTATCATGGGACTGTATCTACTGACGTTGCTCCACTGTCTTGTGGATCAGACCTTTAAATTGAAGGCTAGAGTAGTGGCCCCCCTAAGAAAACCACTTGCTTCGGTCTGGGCACCCGGACAGTATCACAACCCACACACAAATCAAGTGACTTATGTGGCGCATATGTATTCGACACCCGTTTGTACCAATATTTATGTGTTCAAATCAATAAATGATAATAATAACTTGGTCGAATACTCAGTCTGTTAACTAGGGCATTACATCTTATTTTGTACCAGAGATTATATTGTTTTCATTCTTACCATTACATCATCATGATCGAATACATTTTATGCAGAGAAATTGTGTACACTATATGGTTTTACCTTTAGATCAATATTTCGTTTATATTAAAATTGTAATTCATATTTTACAGTACATAATACTATTTTATTCAATACAATCAATGATAATGAACCATCTTTAAAGAATCTCATATGGACAAGTCTTTATACCTTAACTACACTAAAAAAAAACTAAGATAACTTGATTGTTAATAACATAATTGAATATAAATACATCAGGTTCAGTCTAACGAAAGATATCTACCTAATCTAAGCTTAACTTTAATATTGATGGTTGGTTATCCATTGTTTAAGTTTCACGTTTTAACACGTTTAACAAACCTGTCAACGTAGAGCTAACTGGGGACATGACTGATTAACTACCATTACATTGAATTCGTGATAATTTATTAGTTTTATTTATTTATTTGAACACATTAATATTAGTACAAAGGGACATCGGATACATATGCGCTACACAAGTCACTTGATTTGTATGTGGGTTGTGATACTGACCGAGTGCAAAGACCGAAACAGGTGGTTTCCTTAGAAAGCCACTACCTGAGACTTCAACTTAAAAGTATGATCCACAAGGAAGTGAAGTAACGTCAGTAGATGCAGTCACATGGTAGACGGTGACCAATAATTGGTTCATACACCAATTGTTCCTTCATGATCCTGTAGGCCATATGCACCATTGATTTAGAATGAGGGTTTTCCAACTCCCCTACGTGGATCCTCCGTGTCCACCAAACAGGTTAAAGCACTAGACATTCGCTTTTCGGCCTCTCAATTTCGTAAACAACATCGACTTCAAGAGAAGGCAGTGAGTAGGACTTGGAGTGGCTGTATAAGAGTGGCCATGTGAAAGCTAATTCTCCCCATCTTCAGTCGTATCAGGGCATCTGTACAAGATATGTACATCATAGTCTAGCATAGTTTCCTTTCCATGGTACATGCATGGTAACAGTAAATAAAGTATAGTTGAAACACTTAACAATCTAACTAAAACTGACTAACTTCTCTATATCGACTAATATAATATAAAAAAGTATTTACTTCAGTTAAATAATAGTTAGTAAGTGAATAGAACACAAGTTTGTGTACTTGATTACAAATTGTTTACTATATTAACAATTATTGTTCCGATTACATAAGGCTAATAATGACACTATGCAAAAGCTCAAACACTCACATTCACACACACACACACGCACACACACCATGTAAATAAACGAGCATGGAAACAAATGAAAAACATAATGCACGTATAAACAATGGAAATCATTTGGGTAAAAACAGGCACTAATTGTATATGAGGATGGTAGACAAACAGAGAATAGAAGGGGAGTTAGTATAGAAAAAAATACTGATATTATGGAACCAAAAACAAAACACAGAAAAACAACGAGAGTAGCCTATGAGAAAGTATAAATAGGCGCTGTTTTACCAAAAGAGAATAGCATAACATCCTACAAGATCAAAATCTTCACCAATAAGACCATACACAACAATAACAAAAACACAAGGCGAAAACAAAGCACACATTTGAAGTAATACTGATAAGAAATAATAGTAACAGCACAGTAGTATTTCCAAGAGGAAATCTTCAAGACACATTCTCAAAAGTGTGGGGATGAGGAGGAGGAGGAGAAGGAGGCAGGGGTTGGAAAAAGAAAGGAGCATTATTCAGTAGACAATAGAAGTTAGGCATAAAACAAACCAAAAGATATCATGCTGTAAATTTTTCATAGCATTATCTAACTGATCATCTCATGCTTATGTATATGTATACAGTTGTATAACTATACGATCTGTTTTGTATGTAACTGGGGCATTATCATGATTAGTTCCTTTGAAAAGTATTCAAATAACAAAATATTTCTGTCAATAGTAAACTATTGATTAGATATTTTCTACTTCAGTAAACATTGTTTCCATTTCACGACGTAGATTCGTATGATTTAATTGTTCAGCTTCCAATGTTTCTACAAATAAATGAATGAATGAATGATTAATTTAATATAAAGTATAATCAATTATTCAATTTTGTATTGTTTACTTTAATCTTCAGATTGATGTTTAGGATTGGAATTGATGAGTCTCTTATTGGCATATGTACATCCTGTATGGATTGCCTCGATATTACCTTAGATCACAAGCAGAGATGACTGATGGCTAATAGTGGGACTCAAGATGCGCGCTTCGTCCTATTTTGGGACTCGTCAACTGGATGTGTTTGTATCCCAGAGTTGATGTTCACCCCGAAACTCCAACTGAGTAGCGTTCGACTTCAAACACTATCGCGTTATCCACTTAGCTACTGAGTTAACTCTCGGATACAGGTACATCCGGTTCATAAGTTCCAAAATAGGATGGAACGTGCCTATTAGATTCCACTGCTAGCCACCATCCACCTTTGATTATGATCAACTGTGTTTACAGTGAATTCTTCTTATTTGCGTGATAAATACAAAGATAAAATGTACGTTTCATGAATTCGTACGTGAGTAACATAGGAGGGAGAGGAGAACGAATCAGACTACATTCTTTTTATTTGACTAAATTCTATGAGAAAAATCTCATCAATTTAGTAGTCAGACTTAAGACAGGGAGAGGGTTAGTAATAGAAAACGTAAAACAAATTGAAATAGAGATATTGTGGTAGTGATAATGATTAGGCTCGCCCATTGTGATGATCCAATTAAGCTGTATTAGCTGAAATACTTGTTTCCTTAGGTCCTGTCATGACAAACAGATCGATTAGATGACGATAGGATAGAAGGAAAGTTACATAGTTGACTTTACTAAAGTTTGACGGCTGTTAGTTATTTCCGTCAGACATCCATAATTTGAAGTGGTGATGCCTTTCCACAACAAAATGGGCGCATTCGAAAAGATTGACTATGAAGAAAGCACACCTCAAATTGACAGCTAATTTATTCAAAACCGCTGACAAAAGGCTGTGTGTGACTAGCTTCAAGGAGTTATCCTCCCTCACTTATGTGATCAAGACCAGTTTCCATTTCACATCACCCAAAAAAAGGAAGTGACAAATACTTACATACTTTTAATAACACTCAAACGAACTAAGAAGCTTCACAGGATAAGATTTGTTGCAAACTGGACAATATTAATCAAGCTAAATAGGACAACTTAATGCTATTAAAATGAATACTATCAGAATAACGATGATAACAGTGATATCGTCATATGAAGTAACGGTTTAGAAGGTTAATGTACCTAACTTTCAATCATTTGATGACAAGTTCAAAATTCCAGCTTAAGACTACAACATATCATTAGCCTTCTTCTTTGACACATGAAACAGTAGAGTTCCGAGTTGAATATACACTGAATTATAAATGATTCGAAAAACAAGTATTCTCAGAATGCACACTACTCACCTTCTAATTTGCACAATTCTATTTGTTTCATCTCCTCTTGATGACTTGCTTCTTTAACACGTCGTTCAGCCTGGAATATAGTTCCAGTTTAATGTTTTGGAAGAAAGATTATATGCCGAATAAAATGAAAAAACAGGCAAGCATTCACTCATGCATTAAATACACACATTATTTAGGGTAATATACTAGGATATAAGATAAATCCAAATCTCTAAACAACACGATGCAAAAGAAAACCTATTTAGATGCTGAAATACAATATTTCGATGTAGGGGTATATATATGTGTGTGTATGCGTATTTTACCTTCAAGACGATCGGCATCAGCTTGTAAAGTATTGACAAGTCGTTCAGATTCTTGAGCTCGATCCTCAGCCTAATAATAACGATAATAATTATAAATGAAATATACAATGTGAAATACACATTCCTTTTCATGGAAATCAGACCATCTATTGAAGTATCTTCTATGCATGCTTCAATCAAAAAGACTTGGTTACTCTACCAATAATGCAATAACTAATAAAGAGTTAAGAATTAACGAGAAATAAAATACCAATACTATTCATACCATAGACAATGACTTAGAATACACAGATGATATAGTTCTGCTTGGTGAAAACACTGATAAAATGCAGTCTTTTAACCACCTTAAGCAACAATGTAAGGAGATTTGAAATGCGGTTCTCTCCCACCAAATGTCAAATTTTACTTTAAGATTGGTCCGAGTTAGCGCCTGAATTAATGGTAACGAGTGAAGTAGTTGAACGCATCGACCGTCCCACTTATCTTGGGAGTCTTACTAGTCCTGATAGTTTGGTGTCTGACGCAATTTCAGCACGGATTCAGGATTGACTGACTTTCACCAACTTGCATAGCTTGTGGAGTAGGTGAGATATCCGTCTGCTAACCAAAGGATGAGTTCACTGTGCAGCAGGTTACTTCGTTCTCCCTAATTGATATGAAACGTGACCATTAAAAATAGAGGATATTCTTGGGTTACTAGCATTTAATTATACGTGTCTTCAAAACACACCTCATGTATTTTTGGACCACGGAGTAAACAATGCCTGGGTTAGGGAAAGGGTACTAAGTAAGGGTGGCAAGTCGATTGATGAGGTAGTAAATCCTCATTAACTGAGATAGTTGGAACATATGCCCAACCACATCCTACCTCGATGAGTGATATTGTCTGGTATAGGAGTAGGCTGGAAGAAAGCTCAGTCAGTCAGTCAGCTACAACGTAGGACCAGGCACATATATGCATCGGTTCAAATTGCCACACCTCATTAGCACAACATGATGAACACCAAATTCATAGAATTAGAAAGAAGAAAGCCAATGGTGGCCAAACCGAATCATTTCACTACAAATAGAACAGTCGAGACATCTATGTATATTTCTATCAAATGGGTAGTTAACTTCACAATAGTCAGTGATAATCAGCCAGCGATCAAGAATGGATATACATTAGCCAAAGCTGCCATACCATATGGTCTGACAGGTTGAAAATAAGCATAATTTGCTATAATTTGAACATAAATTTCTTCGAAGCATCGTTGTATGATGGAACCACCAAATGAGCCATATTAAGTGTAAGGTTACACTAGTAAGAGATGGTAAATCGGTAGACTTCCACCTAATCAAATGACTAAGACATGTGCTTATACCCATTTATATACAACATACCCCAACATGCAACGCTAATAAACACATTAATAATTTGGAAAATAATGTTTGTTCAGGAAGTGACTGAATTATGTGCTTAAATGTTGAAATATTTTGGTTGGAGGTCTGTGAGATAACCACAGTTAACGATTAGATACCTTAAATGATATAATTAGAAGTTGACCACCATGCATCCAATTCATTTCCACTTGCTAATACACAATTATGCAAGATTCTACGACAATGTTAGCAACTGGCTAGTTAATTAACTGTGTTAGCACCAACTATATATAATTATAACAGAGTAACGAGTATTTTTAAGCACAATTCAATAGTAACCAATAGTGGAAGTCAGGATACATATTCCATCCTATTTAGGCTTCATCAATTGGAAGTACTTGTAATTCTTAACAGCAACCACTGGGAAAATTCAATCACTTTACAAATAAAATAAAACAAAATAGAAAAAAAAAACTAAAAATACCTCAATCAATTGTTTTGATAAAGAGGCAAGTTGAGATTGATGAAGACTACGTTGTTTATTTAACTAAATGGAATGTATCCCACCCCATCCCCCCAAAAAAACAGTATTTGAGAACATGCGAATTCAATATCCAATCCAAGAAAACATGCATTTAACACAAAAAACATGGGGAAAAACAGATATCAGAATAAACATGATTATTTAAATAATAACAATAATATTTCAAGTGTCAATTCCCCCATGCAACTTTTACACACAAGCACAAGTTGGGCATTAGAAAAAAATGGGGGTGTCTGAGCATGCTTAGCTTACAGCTTTTAAGCGCTCAGTTAAATCACGAATATTCTCTTCATATGCCTCTTCACGTTGGGCTGCCTAGAATATAAATATGACCAGTCCAATGTAGGCAAATACAATGTTAGACTAAAATAAGGGAATAAAATGGCGTGTAACATAACTGACGTCTCATTGATTTTAAGTGTCCACAATTTAGGTATATCATTTTTAATATTACCATTGATGTCACATGATTTTCGACCCTTACTATAGGTACAAAAACAGAGAATATCCAGTAAAGTGATAGTTGTTAGTGTTGAATAACACATTAAACCTATTGAGCTTTAGTGTAGGTGTTCGAGCAACAACTACTCACCACCAGCCCCCACATCGGATGTATGATAACCGATGGAATAATAGCAACCAAGATTTAGAAAGAATCTATTCACAGCATTTCAGTGTTCATCTAAAACACATCGGAACACTTTACTTCTACCTGAAGTCTGTGCTAATGTCGTTGGTCAAAACAACAATGAAAGCTCTGAGATCAAACTATTCAGCTTAGAGAAAACTCCACCAAATTCACTTGAGCTACAAATCTCCATATTGAAATATTTTGTAGGGTTTGACTGGGGAAAAAGTGTAGAGCACTATGAAATGTAATCAGTACTAATTTTTCTAAGAAATTTTGAATGTTAACATTTTCATTTCCTAATGTAAAACAATTAGTCCCTTTGATAAATTTCGATAATGATATTAGAAGACGAAGATTATCAGAACTATGTGATATATTAGCGGAATACATTTCGAACAATCTGGTCACACATAAACTTGTTAAGAGCATTTATATATAAAATTAAAAGGTCAACTAGACAGGAATAAGAGGAGATAAGGATAATGATAAGAGTAATAATAATGTGAACACAAAGCGAAACCTAATCACTCTGGATAATAAGTCAATATTACCAGGGTAGGTTTAAGGTAAGAACAAACTGTTTTTGAACACATAAAGGGGGTTTGAATTTTCGTATGGCTAAGGCTTCAATGAACCTTAGTATACGTCCTTTTACACTTTTATACAGCACTACAAAAGCTGAATTTAGATCAATCTTGTGACCTGTTTCAATTATATGTTTAGCAATAGAGGATGATGGATGTTTATCCTCTGCTCTTATCGGGTCACTTGATTGTATTTGTTTCTGAAGCCATTTGGGTACATGTTCACTCACCCTAATGTTGAGATCACGATTACTCCTCCCTATGTATATGTGACCACACATACATTTAAATTGGTAAACACAGTGGGATGTGACGCAATCGTTTCCATGTACTTTAGATTTTGAATGAAGCATGCACCTTGTTCTTTCTTTGATGATGACCTTTGCTGCGCAATAGGTTTTATTGATGACTGATTTAAGTCGTTGTTTCAGTAAAAGGCTATTTGAATCACCTCTGAATGGTAAGGTGATGTAGACAGGCTTTTTCTCTACCGAGGCTACAGTAGGTCTCGCTGAACCATGGACTTTCCATCTATTTATGAATTTCAGAGGATAGCCACTTTCTATTAACGTTTTATTTAACAACTTAACATCATCATCAATGGCGTCATTGGTACAAATACGGTCGAGTCTGTTGAAAAGACACCTTATCAAACCACGTTTGTATTGCACAGGGCAATAACTATAATAACTAAGATATTGACCTGTCCACGTTGGTTTTCTAAAAATAAATCGCTTTACTGAACCATATTCTCGTCTACTCAGGAGTATATCTAGGAAGGGAAGCTGATCGTTTTTCTCCTCTTCACATGAGAGACTAATATGGTTTTGGAGAGTGTTGAGTTTATTTAATAAACCGTACATATCCTCTTTTTTCTCACAAACAACTAAGATATCGTCCACATATCTCTTATAAAGTAACATGTTTCCGATTAATTCATCAGTCTGATTTTCAACATGTGCCATGAACACATCTGCTAGTAATGGTCCTAGCGGACTACCCATAGCAACTCCATCAATCTGACGAAAATATTCACCTTCAAAAGTGAACTGAACTTTGTCAGTATATAGTAATAGTAAATCTTTTCTAATGTACTTAATAACTTCGCCTAGAGTCCCTCTGGGGCTACTGCCGGTCCCAAGCCCGGATAAGGGACAAGGGTTGGGCATGAGGTTAGCGACCCCATCCCGTAGAAAAATAACTCGCTAAAAAACGCTAACCATAAAATTATTCAAACGTACTTAATTGGTAAATAAAAAAGTTTCATAATAATAATGATGTATTAGTAAGCACACATAGTTAATATTCAAAATTATTCAGTTAAAATACATCTAAAGCATGATGGTTCACTGTGAGCCGCCAGATATGTTGAAAGTGGACAGTTTAAAATAGATTAGATGTATGTGTGTGTATGGTGATCTATTTACATAGACAGATATCTAGACTTGTAAATCTACATATTCTGATCATTAGTATAGGGTTGTGGAGATAGTTGAATTTCATTGAAATCATGAACTGATCCAAGTTAGACAATCATTGTAAAGCTGAAAGCACTGGACAGTTGTTCCACCGTCTCATATGAACCTCCTCGCTAGTGAGTCATCCACAACCCCACGACCGTGAGTCAGGCCTACAACCTTCAATCTCGTGAGTGAATGCACAAAACTGGCTTGTCAATGGCTAAGAAAACTGAACGATGGTAAAGAATGATTTCGTCAGTTGTATTTTCCTTTTCGGAAATCTATCCATCTTTTTTTTAGCTTGATAGTATATGAAAGTTGTGCATTAGAATGAAACAGCGAAAGCGATACTTTACCTCCAACCACTTAACATGGTGCAAGTAATGTCGATTCACTTAGAATAGTGATCATATTTTAACTTCGATCAGCAATAAAAAGACTACACAAACAAGATATTGATCACTACACACTGATTGATCAGTTGCATATATGATATGCAAATATATATAAACATAGAATCTACAAAATAATAGAAATACCTCTTGTTCAGATATCTCCAAAGATTTTACATTATTACCAACAATGCGTAACTCTTCTTCGAGTTCTGTAATTTTACTATAAATAGATTATAATAAATTAACTTAGAAACACTATGCAGTTTTTCATTTTGTAGACACACAACGAAGTGGTATAAAGCATTCAGGGATAGCAGGAAATAAACAGGCAGTAAGTGATAAATCATGCAATCCTGATAGTAGAAATTAGATGAAGAGAAAAGACTACATGATAATATTCACGAATTAAACCATGCGACAAACCTTTATAACCATGCATAAGTTACAACAATACGAATTGTTGTTATTATCATGGTCTATGTGTTAGTTACTGGTTGTTATCTAATCATTTCAGTTTACTCTCTATTAAATTCCTCAATATAGTCACTATAAGTACCTTAGCATTATTACTATTGATGAGATCGAAGAAATATACTCTGTATTAGTCAATATTACATATGTTTTATATAAATAATGCTTAGTTTACAAACCTGAGATTCTTGATGCTCTAAAGATTTTAACTGACCCATTGTACCGTGAATAATTGATTGAAGCTCCTTTAAACGACTATAATTAGAAATGCATGCAAAATGATGCAATGAAATGATTTGATAACACCATAGCACATCATGTTAAAACCATGCATGAACAAGAGAAATCAAAGGAAGAAAAGTAGATCAGAGTTACTCAACAAAAAAAACGTCATGTATAATCACTATGGTTAATCTTAAATGGTCAAAGTAAACCTCTAGTATATTTGGGAACACTTTCTAGATATAATTTAAGAGATAGTGAGAGTTGTTCAAAATTAAAAGTTCCCGTCTGCAATCCAATACTTTGGTCAACGGACTAATCATTGTTGTTTTCTAGCAGAATGAGTGTATAATTCTTATGAACAACCTTACTCTATCAAATATTCCCTAAAATAAGGAGCGGTAACTTAGTACTCAACTTTCAGTTACCAAGTATTTCGAGTTCAAGATCTGCCCTATCTATATCGATGGCTGACATTAAAGTATGTAGTGGATGAGTTGATTGTATATTACACTAGACTACGATAATGACGGCTACATACTAGGGGGTAGGGTGGGGAATATATGCTATATGAAATAAAATCAATTCAAGCAATAAGTAATGCAGTAAACTGAGCAAAATAACAATGCGATTACAATATTGACTGTTGTAATATACATTCAATGAACTAATTAGATAGTTAAAAGCTTGTGCAACTGTCACACCACACAAACCAACTGACTAATATAGTAAGTGACCAATAAAAAACTAATTGCTCCCATTTTTTCTCTATTTCACAAAATTACTATTCATACGATGAGAATTGAAGTTTTCAAAGAGACAACATGCATAACCGACAAATCTATTAGGTCTTTCCATAACATGAAAAACACTAATGATAATGGTAAAACTATTTAGTAGTTTAAGTGCAGTTTCGTTTAATGTTGTTCTTGAGGACAAATGGCTAGTATTTTTTAGTGGGAAAAAAAGATCCCACATTTAACATCACATACAATCGAACTAGACTACAGATATGGTGCAATACCGGATGTAAATCACCAGTTTCACCAGTAAATCTAAGAAGAAGTACCTTTCTGCAGCTTCAATCCGATCTTCCGCGTGAGACAGTGCGACTTCGGCAACGGCAAGTTTTCGAGTGGCCTGCGAATGACAGCCGAACATATAGGTCAAGCAAACGAATTAACACAGCAATAGATAGAAGAGATGCACGACAATCAGCGAAAAATAAATCCAAGCCATGTAAATTTAAAAGCACGAAAATAATGTTCAGTTTTGCACTTGTACATGCCTTGAATCAATTATAATAAAGTGTATACAATACCAAAAACAGACAGAATTGAGAGAAAATGATAAAACAAGTGGGCATCAAGTGGAAATTAACATGCTACATATACACACACAAAGAACATACGATCAACATTGGTGCATAATCAAATGTAATAGTAGTATTAATAGTAGCAGTAGGAAGGAATTACTACCTTTCGGCAGCTTCCAATCGAGACTCAGCCCGTTCGAGTTCCACTTCCGTGATAGCCAGCTTACGAGCCGCCTACATATACAACAAGTTAGGTTTATGCATTTTAATTTTTTTGTTTGCTATAAAATCATATATAATATTAAGTTACCACAACACGATAAGATGACGTGATATATAAGTAATAATTAAAGGTTTTATAGGACTATAAAAATAAAACAAAACAAAAGGGACTGACAATTTCATAAGTTAACGACTATAAAACCATATGATGCGACATTTCACTCTTGGCCTGAAAATCTGGCTGCAGTTGTGTTACAGACACTGACTCATAGTATGTATACACACTAGATATAAATAGCCGACTATGTGTTAGATGTTAACTGATTGAATAACACGTTTTCATCATATCTCGACAATGTACTTTGACAATCCACTGATGAAGTTGAATTTTCGTTAACAATCGATTGAAAATTGAATGATATCACGCAAACTAAACGTTATCAAGTATTGAAATATGTATTTTCATTAGGAGGGGGAAGTGTAGAACCAGCAAACCGCATAATCACCAATTGTACAACCTCATGATACAATTTATACAATTGTACAAATGAGATAAACAATGCATTTAGCGAATAACGGCTACTTAAAGCAATATGTAAAATACAGCATGCAGTTGTAATACATCAAATGAACCTGATGGAGTGGATTCACAAATTTTACTATCAAAATGGCAAGACTATAATTTATGGACGAACCAATCGGATTTAAGACAGTAACTCCTGGATTTTGTTGTATAATTTATTTATCCATATGGCTAAATAGCATTTTGGTGTTATAGCTTATGTCAGTTCGTCATGAAAAACTCCTAATCCTAGTTCCTTACACTAATGTACAACCCTATTTTGAACCAATGAAGTGATTGAAATTTCCTAAGGTCACTTTAGAATAAGTCGAAGGTTGTCCATAAACCATAGTCTTGCCATATTGACTACTATAATTATCTTTGTAAATGCTTGAAAAAATTTCTAAATGTACCATGTTTTGAGTTCCATCTAAACTTATTTGAATAACAAGGCATGCAAAATTGGTAGAAATAACAATCAATCACTATCTAAACTATTCTAACAGTTTTTGTAAACACAGATACAATACGGCATGCACTGAAACTCATTCTCATACGACATTGAATGCATTAGCTTTAGTTAGAAATGCACCTCATCGTATTTTCGATCAGCATCTTCAGCCATAAATGTAGATTCTTTTAATTGTTCTTCTAACTGATTGATACGTTCTTCATCTGCGAAAGTACGATTCTCCAATACTTTACGACCACTATGAAACATATATAAAGGAATTAAATGTTTTCATAATACTTTGTTATTAATACAAAGTTTGAGAAAGTTTCCTCTGAATTGGTTTTAGAAACAATACAACCAAACAGTCAATATGTATTAATGTTTATTAAAAAAATATTTTTTAATGTAATACAATACCTCCTCATATTTCGTTTCTGCATCTCTCACAGATTTTGCAGTTTCTTGTACCACAGATTCCAAATGTAAAATCCGCTCGTCTTCCGCAGTCTGGCGGGCCTCAAGCACCCGACGAGCACTAAGATTATGAATATATAGTGTCAATGACAAAACATAATCAAACAAAATCGATCAAAATGGGGAACAATGTTGTCATCCATAAATCAATTCATTTGAATAAAGAGAAAGTGTTGACTACTTTACGACTGAGAGTGACGACGCTTACTTAGTAGTATGAATTTGACGTAGTTAAGCAAAACACTGATTCATCCCTTTAGTTGTCACACTAAACGGAAAGTATGAAATTCAGATATTTCTAATAAATGATTTTCAATGAGTGTTCGATTGGTTGAAAACTCGAATCTGTGAGAAATCCCCGAGCTAAATACTGAATGAACTACTTTCAAGACCCTCATATTCGGAACATCAGCATGATGTTTTGTGGAGGATATAAAAAAGGCTTAAATGGACTCATCTTTTTTAAATTTTTTATGTAACTAAATGTTATTCCTAAGTAAACTATAACTGTTAAGGTTATCCACCTACATTATATCACCGAGTGAGATATCAGTCGACTGTAATTAAGGCAGAGCCTAAGACAAGCGTGTCATTCTAAGTTGCTATAGTGGCACGAGATGAAAGAAGTCGAAATAATTTAATAGTAATGAGAATCAGGATGATCTAACGTTGCTATTTTCCGAAGACAGAATGAAAAGGTATGTTTGAAAAGATATTGAGAATCAATACCTAGACTGAAAAAAAACGAATGAATGCAGTTGTGTTATTATGTTGATTATGAGCTATTTCACTTAACGTCTATGACCAAGCAGGATTTCTGAACCTGTTTTGAAGTCAAACACTAACTAGCGCTGATAAGACCTCAGAGGTAAATAGACTGGTCAATGCATTTAACTTCGCTCTACGATCAATCAAAGCGATAAAGTAGACTAGTTCTGAATTAGCATTCGCAATTTAGACAGAAAAACGCATCTTAAACTTGATGACATTAGATAAGAAATACGATGAATATTTGTAAACCCATAGGAATAGCACTAATGCGAAGCTTTACATTCATATCAACAGACTAACGAGATACACTTGGACGAATAGACAGTCTGCAACATACAATCACCAAAACTATGTGATTAGGATCTCCATTGGAAATATAATCTTGAGTCAAATAAGCCCATTGGTTTCAATTTCCAAACGACAGGGAAAACAGGAATTTTTCAAATACTGTTTTAGTCTCCACAAAATGAGCCATACTAGCAGTAAGCCCTATTAATAAGCAAAACCATAAGAGCATATATGAAGATAGTTGATTGTATTAAGTCTGTATTATCACCTACAATCACGAAATGTTTTAGTATTGGAAACCAAAGAATTTGATACAAAATACGCTGGACGTTACCGATGCAGGTTCTAAAAACATTAGATTTATCAGATGCAAGTAAACAGCACGACCTTTTCGATTGCTCAGCAACAAGTACAATTGTCCACCCAGATGCTTTCAAGTTTAACCTAAAAGTCAATATCAGTTCTAATTCGAGCAATGTACATTGAGAGGGTCTTCTAAACTAGTAGATTGTCAGTGATGTTTTAATCTAATTGCCAGGTAGGCATCATTTTGTGAAACTGGAGCTACTAATTCCTAGGTTTACGGAGTTAAGAATAGTTTATCCAGTTTTGCCATAGTTTTATATCCAACAAACATTTTCCTGCTCTTAAGCCTGGTCTTGAATCCGCTATAAGACTAAGGAAAGACTGTATTTCCGCAATGTGTGAGAATACCTAAAATGTGTTAAAATATGCTTTCGATTCTTAACGAAAACCAATTTGTGTAAGAGATTGCGCTACCATACTAGAAATCTGGACTGCACTAAATACTTGGTCATGAAATATGACAATCAGAAACAAATCTCAAGAAAGTCATGAAGGTATGTTTCCGAATTACGAGCAACTTCACAATTCACCATATGTTTTAACGGAACAACAATCTCCGGAACCATCAAACTGACCAGTCCGTCATAAGCATTTATAAACAAGATTGCAAGGGTGAACACAACGAAGGACACGTGATTATGATTGATTAAAAAGTTATTTTTGAGTATCATAAACTAACCGATCACTTTCATCAGCAGCTTTACTCGCTTCTTCGAGCTTAACAGTAGCTTCTTGAAGACGAGTCTCGGTAGATTCCAATTCATCTTCAAGCTGTCGAATTCTCTTCTGTAATGAGGCGACTTCAGCTTCAGCCTAAAATCAATAAACAAAACAAATAAAGAAGTTGTTCGACTCCATGTAAATATAGTAGGTCTTAAAATCTATATACCTTGGTTTTATTTTCTTCCTCCTTCCTTAAAATAGCTTGTTTAGTAGATAACTCTTGCTTAAGCTGGTCAATTTGAAGCTTCATTCCTTGCATTTTAGACTTTACAGCACCGATAACAGGACTGGACATTCTTAAGTTAAAATATTCCGAATATATCTTATGACCAAAATGTGCAATAAAAACCAAACACGGCGGTTAAAATATCGATGTAAATAAAGTATCCTCACCTTTCGTAAGGAAACTTTGATAACATTTTGCAGCTCAACACCAATGATTGCCATCTTTATGAGGGTTCCGGAATTAAGATAAACGGCTGATAAAGCTTCTTCCATAGCAGAGTTGTCATCGATGAACTTCGAGCAGCGCCTCCGTTTAATGTATTCGTCTTCATCGTCACTTTCGCTCCCATAATCGGAAAATAACGGTTCATCCGTCCCTTCGTATAATAAATTCCTGCACTCTGAATAGCTCTCTAAAGTCGCCTGGTCTTCACCCTCAGGTTCTAACCTTGGTCCGAGTAATTCCGCTGGATGTACTCCAGATTCTATTACATCCGACAGTCGATTTTGGTAGCCGAATCTCCAGTCATAAGAAAGTAGCGTTAAAAAACTTTTTATCCTTTTTGGCTCTTCCTTTATTCTTGAGTTGTCTTGATTCCTTCTTCTTACTCCTTTGTGTATTAAGTGCTTAATCTTATGAACCTGACTCTTCACAATTGAGCCGTCCCAGGTGTGCTCATTAGACTCTCGAGATGTATCGTAAAATGAAACTCGTGGGGTGAATTTGGTGGATTCAATTACATCCGAAACATTCTCTGAATGATTTTGATTGTTCTACATTGGTGAGATATGCGAGAAAGTGTTATAATCAGTCGTTTTGTTACTGTGATAATAAGGTACTATAGTACTATAACAACCATATATTTCAGGAAAATAGTCTCAGTGTTGGAGGCAATATATCTGGAATTATTTGACCTTGACTTTCTGTAAACAAGTTTAAAAAGCGTTTTCAAGTAATTCCAGAACCACTCGACATTTACGTTACCCAGAAAAGAATGAGGCTTCGAGTGCTACTCACATTATATGTTATCAATCAAAGTGGAATGGAAAAAGGGATGGTCATAGTCTGGGGCCCGCGTTACTGCTGATTGTTGTCTATTGCGTCTCCCATTAAATGTAAGTGCATTTTGTGTACTTGATGGGTTATCAGCTCTCCCCGCTCACTCCACACTCCGTGCTCTCCTAGTACACAAAGTTACTTCTGACTAAACGTTGTAGCTGCAAATAACTACCCGAAATACATATTCCTGTAAGTCTTTGACAATGACGTCATTAGTTTTGCTGAACACGCCCTAGCTGGAGGCGTTCGGTCACGTTTCCACACCAGATCACGAGTGAGTACGTCGCGCTACCCATCCCTCACAACTGCTGGCTAGCTTGGATGGAACACTTCTCAACATAACGACAACTGTACTAAAATATCTCCGAAGTCATTCATCCCTAACCTCTGATCTGGCTGGTCTGATACCCTTGAAGTATAATTGTGTTACGGACAAAAGCGTTATCAAACGTAGGATATCTGTGGCGTCTTTAACGTGGACCGCTACATATCACCTCAATCACCACCAGCTTGCAACGTAGTTCTTCATTTGTGATCTGATTAGTTCACCCAGCCGTTTAAAATATGTACAGATGATGACATTATGATCATGCATTATCACAGGTCATGGTTATAACACTTATCGTTTTACTCAAATATATTTAGTTGTTGTAAATTAGCTTCACCACTTGTATGGACACTTTAATGACAAACAATCTGGCTTACATCCGGAAATACGGCAAAAGCGGCGCAGAAACGCATACCTAACTTTATTTGTTTTTGAGACAGACCAAAATGTCTGAATCCCATGATGGGCTCATACGTTAGCTTCAAAGTAAGTGACAAAAGCTCGTCCGGATATACTTATTGAAAACGAATTTTCTTGTTTGGCATGATAACAGTATCTAAAATACTACAAGTTGTTCTCATTTATATAAATAGCCTTTCAACCCATAGTGCAGATCTAGGGATATCCATGTAAATCGCATGTTACCGTAACAATTATTAGAAGCGGCCACTCTGTATTTTTCCGGGTGAGTGCTGAAGAAGACGAAAAACTATGGACCATTCCATATGTATTTTCAAATAGCAGAGATTTTACATTTTTAACCTTAGAAGTATAGAGCTTTGGTAGTAAGTCAGATGACTAAGGCTGCAAAAGAGCTGAATCACCAAACAATTGTGGGATCTGAGTTGTTGCGCATGGAAGCGGCGACAGTGCAGAAGTAAGCAGATAAGGTTGTTTTTTTCAGAAAAATACGTTTCAATTTATTGACGAGCATAGCGCTTGGTGAATATATGATGTTAATAAACAGGTTTAGCATCAAAATGTGGGAATAAAAAACGGTTTCCTGAATCAGAGATCGTCATAAACATCGAGGTGAACCCCAAGTCAAGCATTTATTTATAGTACGGGAGGGAGCATATATAAAGGAGCTCTTGATGTTGCCTTGATATATCTCAAGTCTTCAGTTCATGTCCTGACAAGAAATATGGGTAAAATCTTCTCTTTTATGTGAAACAGTAGGGTTAACGTAATACCTCAGAAAAATTCCTCATGAGACAAAAAGTTCATTCATAAAGGCTATTCTTGTTTTACAACCATTATGTTAGTACCACACAGTGAAATATTCATCTGGGGTTAGAAAGCAACTGTTCATGAGTTATCTTGCGTTCTTCCCAAGGCTTTCAATGCAGTACAGCACATTGTCTAACTGGCAAAGAGATTGCTGATGTATTCCGCAGACTAACCCCATTCCTAACTATGTGACTGGCAGAGTGGAGAAACCGGCGTCAAAGATAACTCAGTGGACTTACGTAAAACAATGTAGGTGCTTGTGTTAATCTAAGAAAAACCATTGTCTCCTGTTTTAAGTGGTATTTAAAGGTGACGATGAAAAAGGTCATGACCGGTCTCTATCTTTGTTGGTTGTTCTTTATGGCGTCTTACATGACCACAATTCTGAGGTGTAACCTTTAGTTACCCCAGCCGTTATTTCTTTTGACAAACAATGAGGACATAGTTACCTGATAACATACACAGTGTGTTCGTAATAAAATGTTTTTAGACCAAAGCTGAATTATTTTAGTTCCACAGGAGGATCCAGATAGACTTGTTGAATGTACACCGATAATAAGATTTATATCAGAAACATAAAAAGATGTGGAGAAATGGTCCAGAGATATTTAGTCAGGAGTTTACTAAAAAAACGTCTATCCTCACTGAAGATTTGAAATTGTTTGTTATCTACTCGGCACTTACACCACTATTTATTGAGTTAAAATTTCATAGCATCAATCCCACCTCGGTAGTTATGAGGCAGAATAGCCTCTAGTTTCATCTTAGGTTGTGCGTTTAAAAATAAGCAAGTACTAACAGCAGAAGCTAAAAGTGAACTTGAACTGAACGTTAGAAACTGAAATTTTTTTTCGAATCATTCGAAGGTGCATTCAATTGTTTTATTTCTATAACATGACTACTCTGAGTCAGCGACTGGCATGAAACATCATGACATTTATTTATTCAAGTATATACTAGTTATTCAGAAAGATACCTTGGTATAATAATTGAAAATGATTGCTAAAAATTCAGATCATCTCTACTAAGACTTGTCTACTGTAAAGACGTTAACAAGCAATAATGAATGAAAAATTATTGTGTTGCCCATTGACTTTAAAAAATCTGTTACTTTTAATCCTTTTGAACATTACATTATGCATATTCATGATACAAGTATGACATTGCGAATGTCACAGTTACTCAAATAGAGATATTCACTTTCAAATCGCTATCAGTAAGAATACCAAAGGATATCTATTTAGGACTCTTACTACACACAATAACTCTAAATAATGGATCAGCGGACTATGAAGCGTAGAAATATTTTTGAGAGTCCCTATGCATCGATCAACTAGATGAAGTGAAATGTTGAAGTAAAGATACTAAAGAATTTCTTATGACAATTTAAAGAAACAAATATCCGTTAAGAGTTCGTAAGGGCGACACTATGATTTATGGACGAACCAACAGAATTAGAGATAGCGTATAATAGATTTTGGCATGAAATTCACTCATCATTATGATTAAACAGCCTTTCTGTCAATTAAGCTGACCATGATAAGTAGATGAATTTTCCCGAGGTCATTTTGGCGTTTCTAAAAGAACATTCATAAATTAATGTCTCCCTCCTCAGCAAAAAGCGAATTATCTCTAAATTGTAAACGGCCCTTAGAAACCTCCAAATAAAAAAACAATCCTGTTCACTTTACCAACCATCTTGAAGCGTGATTACCAATATTCTAATAGAAAATCGTGACTAATGGAGTTTGATCTTGTCGGGAGTGAAATAACTTTTCATGATGTATATGTATGAAATATGAATGACTCGTATAGCAATAAAACCATTGAACTTTGACTAAAAACCACATAAAAGCCACATCATTTAAACAAACTCAAATAAATGGCGGTATTTTTGAATGCGTGAATTGTTGATTTGGTAATAACGATTAAAGAAGGATTCATAGTGACTTACCTCAGTTGCTCGTTTGTCTGTTTCTTCTAATTTAGTGTTAGTTTCAGCCAATTGAGTTTGTGCGGTTTCTTTGTCAGTGTCAACTTGTTGAATTTTTTTGATCACTTCTGCAGCTTCTTCATCTTTAGTTTGCATTTCTAATTCTTTTTCACGTAATTTTGCCTCTAGCTGATCAGCCCTGTTATAAACATTATCAAAAAATGATAAAGGTAGTTTGATTGAGGAAAACAACAAACAATAATTTTTTGAGAATGATGGCATAGTGGATAACCATTTCATTTAACTTTACGATCATTTAAACGTCTAGATCCCTAACTATACATAGGACTTACTCATAGATCACTAAGTTCCGAGGTTAGTTTAATAGCGTTATAGGATCTCACTACAACGTAATCAGTAGATAACTAAATATCGGTGAGACTATAATTTATGAACGACCTTTGAGTGACCTTGGGAATATCCCCCTACTTACTAGGGTTAAATGATGGTTATAAAGCATTACGAAGGTTAAGGGTTGGGATTGATAGTTGATGGTTAAGATTGGGAATTAGATTTATGGTTCTCATCACATTAACCGAAGTGCCAGGACGCTATTTTTTACAACTGTGTGGATGAATT